TTGTCCAAGATATTTTTATGGATTAAATGTCTCTTTTGTTTCCCTAGTGAGGGAAATAAAAAAGAGGTTTAATCCAAAAAAATATCTTGGACATGTATGTACAACTTCTAAATGCCACTGAAAGACATCATATGCCATATTTGCTGATGTGCATTAAACATTATTTACTCACTAACTCAGAATGGATCGCAAAACATTGACAGAAGGAAAAGTGTAAACTAAATGTGCTGAAACGTATTAATGTATTTTTCTTTATAAACATGTTTTCACAAAAGGCAAACCCAAGAGAGGTGGGCGGCAAACCGTTGAGTGACCTCCGACCTTAATGTCTCTAGAATACCGGCTTCCAATCATTGCCCATGTCAAAATTGCTGACCTCAGCTGATCTATCATTTCATTAGTGATAAAACCCCTCCCCAACACTGATAACCTCCGACATTAATCAAGGCGAAAACATTGATAAAAGTGTTGAAAATTTCGTCACGTTTTGGAACCTGGGTCTGTGTGGGATGGCCAACTGCTATGCGAGCTAGCTCCGAGTTATCTGACATTGTTTTCTGTAGGATAACCCTGTGACATCATTCACACCCTTCCACACGTTCCTTGGTGTTGTGTTGTCCCTTCCATCATTACGCTTCAACTCGTCTGAGAAAACTAAATTCTTATCAGTATCTGCAAACAAGGACGACAGTTTGAAGAACGAGAAATCTAATCTTTGTTGTTATATAGACATGTGCAACTGGAAGAAATTATCATTTTTCAAAGTTTCAAATTCTAATTTCAAAGACAAGACAGAAGGACATATCTTTAAAAATAATCCCATGTGATGCAGAGGAAGCTGATGCTTCTGAAAGACAAAGCCTGTTTGTTTATTACGTTTCCTTTCAAAGCTCCTGCATGTAGAGATGGATGTCTCTGACTAAATCTTTCCTATGAGCTCACTTACTGACGTACTCCAAAACTCTGAAGTCAGTGCTGCTGTCTTCTGTTGTCATGGAATTAGTTGTAAGGCAGACAGCACAGAGGTAATTCCACCATGTTTACCACAAGGCATATCAAGGTCTAATCAGGATCTGATGCCGAACTGTCTGTATTTCATCACCCTCATTGACTCTCTAGAAATGAATATATGGTTCATGTGTAGCATGTTGTTGGCTTATTGTCAGAAAAGACTCTGCCAACTGTAAAAACCTCATGTGGCATTTCCGCTGAAAACGTAAAACATCCCAAATTATGAATTACTGCCATTAACCAATTCTACAGGGGCTAATTGCGTAAGACCACACTTGTGTGTGTTTCTGTGAAAACAGAGCACAGGATGTTATGACTGAGGAAAAAACATGCATTTCCATGAATCTGATGTTCCTCCATGACTTCTTCTGTCCTTGACCTTCAAAGTGTGTATTATCTTTGCACTTGAAGATATTTAAGTAGATAAATCACCCTTTCATTACTCTGTAGTATGTTATGACAAGAGTCGTCTTTTCTTGTGTCAGGCTGTCTTCAGTGATGAGACAAGAAATTCATAACACCGATGTATTAATGTTGGTTTCCCCTACTGAGGGTTGCTATCCAAGGACTATGATGGAGTAGAGAGATGTTTCATTGTATAATGTCTGACCTTGATGACCTTGCCAGGCATTTTCATTACTGTACTGAAGATAGGTATATCTTCCTCCTGGCGTGAAGCCATCAGTCACAATCAAATATCCATGGTTTGAGAACCACATCAAACTGACAACATCCAAACATATGCCATCACCTGTACATATATGTAAATATACACAGACATAGGGGTTAAACAATCATGTATTTAACCAAATAAATGTCCTGTGGTGTTTTAGAGGTTAACCATCTTACAGTCCATTTAATGTCTCAGGAGTCATCAGATTTTTGCTTGAGACACAATCCTTTTGTAGTCTCTGATTTTCTGTAAAAAACTAACCGTGCAACTTTTTATAGCCCACAGGACATCAGGCTGACAGATGTCTTCGATTTTGGTGAATTTTGAGAAATTGTTTTGTTCCTGTATTGGTTATATTTTAAGAAATCAAAGCCATCACCAAATGGGTCCTTCCATGAGCTGCTTGAGAGCCAGTCTCTGATGGTTCCCAAAGTTAGGTCGTCCTTTCTGTAGCTTCACAGATGCTTAGACACTGCTGTTGCTGAAAATGCATAACATTTGGTGTAGCCAGTGAATGGTTTTGTATTTGACAAGTTACGTAACATTGCAGCTTGAGGAAATGGGACTGCATGATCACAACTGTGGATAGGTGAGGATGTTTACTAGGTCGGACACTGTGTGTTAGAAGGTTGTTTAATCATCGATCTTTATTCAGTTTTAAACAAACATTGTCAGAACACTTTTAAACATTTTCATTAATGATGTACACATGGAAATGAATAATGGAATATTCAGATAAGAAGAGCAAAAAATAGATTTGATAAAATCTGGCTGCGTTAAGGTTTTAGTTCAAATTGACTATTTCCAACTCATGTTGTAATAAAATGGTATCAAAATGTTTGCAGAGATCTGGTGTGCCCTTCATGTTTGAGATTCTGAGGCGTCATATCTCAACATATCCTATCTGGACACTGCAGATAAAACATCTTGAAGCTAATTGGGATAAACATGCCAAGTACTACTACCCGTGCCATTTTACTCATTATTTTATCAAGATCATCCCAAACATAAATCCATATCATTGCATGTACATGCATCCGTGCCTCTGCTCATGTCTTCCGTTCAGTCATTCCTAATTGAACCATAGCTTTGGCCAGAAGGAAATAATTATTGCCAATGAAAGAACGTATAACCATATAAAAATGATGTTGGACTGGAAGTGCCTGCCCGATGCCGATCATCATCTTGCACCGTGACCCAGTGCACCAGTTGTGATTGCTTAATTTGAAAATATGGCTGATTGGGAGTTTAATTGGGCTGATAGTTTCCTCTTTAAATCAATTATGAGGTTTGTGAACCATCTGCCCTGGCTTTATGACTCTGGAGGAGGGTTACAGCAATGAACCGTATGAGCATCGTATACGTAATTGTGTATTTGCTCACCCATTGACGGAACAAGTTAAACATTTTGGACTCATCAAATATTCTGACAGAATTATTGTCTGTTTGCCTTAGCTAATATTTCACTGTACTCATCAGACCTGTACCTATACATAGGATGCCTTTATGGGGTTTATGTGCTTACTGTGTTGGGAATGAAACCAGGTCCATGTGCTGAGTGAGCAAACACACTATCCAGTTGACCATTCTTCTATTTCCTCACTTGAAATGATGACGTTGGATCTGGTTTGGGTTGATAACAATTTTGTTGATATGTAGATTATCAAATACTTAGGCCCCACATGGGTACAATGTGTGAAGCCCATTTCTGGTGTCCCCTGCCGTGATGTGGCTGGAATATTGCTGAAAGCGGCGTAAAACAAAACTCAGTCAGACAGTCAGTCAAATACTTAGGTTACCTGGCAACAGAAAATGTCAAATACAAATTAATATTTCTTTCTCAGTGATGGTAGTAGCTTTAATTTTACACTGCTTTTAGCAATATTCCAGCAATATCGCGGTGGGAGCACCAGAAATGGGCTTCACACATTGTGCCAATGTGGGGAATCGAACCCAGATCTTCGGCGTGATGAGCGAACAGCTTAACCACTAGGTTACCTCACCACCCCTCTTTCTCAGTGACACTATGTAGTTTATCTGGGATGACAGCTGAGAATATGGCAGTATACACAAACCCTGCATGATGTACAGGTTTTCCTGACTAATACAGATGAACTCAAATGTAATGTTGTCAGAAATAGGACCCCTCCATCTTGTTCCACCGATTTAAATCTTTGAGCCTGTAAGAATGATACAACCTATTTGGCTTTGTTTTCTCAATTTTGTTTAGAGCTGGCTGGCAATCATGATTGAAACAAGGCTCAATTAATCTTTATTTGCAGAAAATGTTTAATACCAAAAAGTAATTTGTATACAATGGGAGTTCATATTCCAAATAGTTCTTGGAACAGTTATTTTCAAGGAAATGCAAAATTTTGATGCCAAACAACATCCCCAGTAGAGCATGAAAGTGGTGAGGTGAGGTGAGGTGAAATTGTTTTACGTCGTGCTTGAGAATATTTCGCCCATATGACGACGTGCATGCATGTGTATGTGTATATGCGGCTGCTTGTACTAGCCCAGACTTAAGCTGGTTTTATAGTGCTAGCCCACTGAGATACCATGCCGCAGTTAAACATGAATACCCCACTCAGACACATTATACTGACTCTGAGCTGACCAGTCCTTGTTGTACCCATTAATGCTGAGCGCCAGGCAGGGACCAACAGGTACCATATTTTAACGTCTTTTGGTATGACGCGGTCGGGGATCGAACCCGCGACCTTCCGCTCTCTCGGGCGGACGCTCTAACCACTACACCACGGAGGCGGTCCATGAAAGTGGTACAGCCAGGAAAAAACTGTGAGATGTTCTACCCCATGCATATGGTGAACCCCACCTCTACTCAACCACTTCTCTTCAAAACCCTCAGAATTGATCTTTAGTAACCCATGCTTGTCATAAGAGGTGACTAACAAGATCGGGTGGTCAGACTCACAGACTTGGTTGACACATGTCATCATATCCCAATTGCATAGATCGATGCTCATGCTGTTGATCACTGGATTGTCAGGTCCAGACTCAATTATGTACAGACCGCTGCCATGTAGCTGGAATATTGCTAAATGCGGTATAAAACTAAACCCACTCACTCAAAACCCTCTTATGTTGGCATGAGAAGTGTGCCTTATATATGGCGATCTACAGTATGTGGAAAGCATCCTTGAAACTTATTTTTGAAGTAGAATAGTCAGAGGAACAATGCCAGAGCATTGAGAGCAATAGCATAGCCACTAGAAGGAAATTGAGCGTGATTGTATGGCGCAAATAATTAAATTTCCTTCCTCTAAGACTTGAACATTAAGAGGAAGCTAAAATGGTAGCTGATATTGTTCCTGAAACAGGTAGGTAGCACTCGTGGGAAAGTTTTTGATGGGTATACACTTGACATGCTGCTGAAGCTCAGCATTAATCAGCACTGAGTTTGTAAAGGAGAATTGTTTGCTCAATGCCTGGAAGATTGAGTGTTCAGCAAGTTGGATTATGGTAATCGTGTCACTGCTTAATGCTGTTTTGTGACAGCTGAACAATGTTTTGTGATGGCATTCACTCACTCACTCACTCACTCACTCACTCACTCACTCACTCACTCACTCACTCACTCACTCACTCACTCACTCACTCACTCACTCACTCACTCACTCACACTCACTCATGTACAAGGGCAAGGGCAGTGGGTTAGCCTTATTCCAATTCCTATATGGTCACAGTCGCACAAAATCTGCTTTGGGTTTAGGCAAAACCATGCTCATGATATCCTGACACTGACGCTAATAAATAAGTGTCAAAACCCCCCGGCCATGTTGAAAAGGAATCTCTGGTGAAAGATACTGACTATATCATGTAGGAGTGCGACTATATTCAGACTGAGAGCTAGCTGTATCAGCCTGTACTCAGTCAATCAGCCTTGTAACCTCCCCTTGGAAGGCACGGTGGTATCTTTATCTGTAGGTCGTGAAAGTGTCCACCTTCTTCCATCATCAGTTGCATTATTGGTTCATCTTCAGCAACTTTGCACCTTTGAGAGTAATGTCGGATCATGTTGCTTAAATTCACCATATATATTTACAATATCACAATATCAGACATATGTATCTGAGAATAGGTTTCAGGTTAGGATCATTAACTATCGGCTTGTAGCATTACGTGGCTTAGACCATGTACAAACATTAGGGGAGATAACTCTTCACTGCTGAGCTGGTGAAAAGCGTAACATTGTACAAACATTATTCGCAGACATCCCCGCCAATCCCCACACAATGATGTTACTTATTCCACAAGCTCATCATCACCATCATTAGGTCCCCTGCAGTGTGTGGAATCTTGGCAGATATTTTTTTAAATAGTTTTCATTCTTTAAGAGATAACCAAATTTACAATATTTGAAGAAAAAGTTGACTCAGTAACGATTTGCACTCAGGGACACTAAAAAATAATTTTTATCAAATATGAAGAAACCTTCAGGCAGTGTTTTCACAATATGTATCCAAATAGTAAATAAATATTTTCTGAAAGAAAAACATTTTGTTGATTACTAAGGTTTCCACAATGTATCATGTTCACCATAGACTGTGCATGTGTTATCAGGAACTGCTCTTTTATCTGACTTATCCCCTTGGAGTTGACAAATTGGGGTCCAGCAAGAAGGTAGCTGTGAGATACGAGATGTGAAATGCTAAATATTTACATCCACTTGTCCTAATCAGATACATTGATCGACTTATCAAACTAATCAAACAAATTCGTGATTGACAAAAAAAGATGTGTGTTTATTAATTTTCTCAGTCTCATGCTTTTGCGCAGTTAGGCGTGTCAGAAATGAGATTAATTTCATAAGAATGTCTTTGACATTTTAATTGAATTATCCTGCCAATTATAATCATGGCAAAAGGGATAACAAAACAAAAGTTTCAAATTTCAGATAAAACACACACATATGAAAAATTAGAACACTTTTTGAAGAATACCTTCAACGGTTTTAAGGAAATTGTGAAATTAACCCAGTGTGAGTTGCTGGGAGCTGAAACGCCAACATTTGGTTAAAGCCAGTGATTACAGAAGCCGGCAGCTAGACACCTGCACTGCTACAAGTAATGGGGAAACAGGTTTTCCTTAAGGGGATCTCAAGATCGCTTCGAGGTGCCAGGCACACATGGAGTTCACTTGTGCCTTGAACTAGTTTTTTGTGTTGCGTAACTAGTTTCATTGAGTCGGGACATGGAGCTGGAAGAAACGCTCTGGAAGATTTTTGTTGGAAGACATCACAATGATCAGTTAAAGTTTGTAGCTGACCATGGTTTTATAATTACATTGGGATATTCCCTCTGCTGAAATGTTAAAAAAATGGTTTCTGAGTTTTGCTTTGCGGACTCATTAGCTTCACATTTTCATGATGCCATGACAACGGAAGGATTCTTTTTCGTGAACAAATCTGTGTTTCTGAACATATGTTAATTTTATGCTTAACATGTGTTGAACTTCAGGTTGATGATAATATCATACAAAACAAATATGAATAGTGTTCAACTTTTACTCTCCAGGAATCCTCAGAAATCCACAGGAATCTGTGATGCTAGTCTCCACACAACTAATTACCATGACCAAGGGGTAGGACCTGTAGCTAACTGATTCATCTTCAACCAGAAATAGCTATCCGAATTGGGCAATGCTGTAAACTTTCTAAGTAATGCCACGCTACGGGAAAAATAGCCATTATTTTCTAATACTATTCATTTAGCTGACATAGGGTATAAAGCTCCACATAGACTACATGTGCATCTCCTTAGCCATTGCCACAAGGTTCTTGGAGAGAGCAGGCAACCACCAGTGCCAAGATCCCTGCTGGCTGTGGAATCAAAGAACAAATGGTAAACCCCATACATCAAATATTTCATATGTTTTGGTAATACCAAAAGATCTAGGTAAAGTGGAAAACCTTTTATCAGTCCGATTATGACTTCCAAATATGTCAACACTTTACAGTACTTGAATACAGTAACATCTTCCAAAACAAATTCTTTGTATTCGCAACAAGGGAAACAAATTGGTGTTTTCGCAAGCATTACAACATTCAAGGTCATGATTTTGAAACTTTTTAATTACATCAGGGAAATTCTTATTCATGAAATAACGCTCAGTTGATCCTGGTGACTTTTTGACCACTCATAACTACCAAGTGAGGTTTAGTTGTTTTCATGCGAAGGTGTCAAATGTGCAATATAACCTGACCATAATTCCATCTCACGCCATTTTATGCCTTCTCAGACCTTTTCCTGCCCTAAAGTGTACAGGACCAATAAGAACCTCAAAGACAAAGTGGATTTCCAGAGCCCCAGGGTCTCAGCAAGTGCCATCATCAATGAGAATATTATTGGTGTTTCTCAATATCTCCAAATGGAGGCCTTTCATGGTCAGCTGTTTGAAATGCACATGAGTTGTTAAAACTGTGTTTCATGCTTTTCTTCATATCTGAAGGCTAAATGGCTAGCTTAGAGCATATTTCACACTTGCCATGCTTATGGGCGACTTCATCCATGTGACTCAACCCTCCAGCATTGCAGGAATTGTTCTGTGCACTTGGCCTCATTAACTCTTACTTAAGGTCATTCTAGTGCACATACTTCCTTTCTACTTTAAAAAAATATCAAAATCTGAAAAAATTATAGGAAAAATAAGGCTAATATTCTCTCTGGTCAGTGACCAGTGTGAAGAATGTCCATTTGAAGCTGATTATAAACCATTGTTTTTCTTCATCGTAATTTGCATTATTCAGAGAGTGTGAAGGAGTACTAGGAAATGTCTGGGGAATATTTACAAATGTGGAATAATTTATTTGTTTTTCATGGGTGGCATATTCAATTCACTGTGAGATTCACCCGGCCATCTACGATCAGGGTTTGAATCCCAGTTCAATATAATTATGTTTCTAGGTTTATCAGCCCCACATATAAATATTCCCATGTTTGTTGGTTCCACCAAAGTTGTAAATGTCTGAGACCAGCATCTCCCGCCATCTCCCACCCACCATCTCCCTCCCACATCAACCTGACACAATGTGATGTTACTTGACTGAAAGCCTCATTCAACCAAGTTCACTCACTCCATCTATTTTGATTCCATAAATAAAGTGATCCACTATGATAACACAAATCATAAAACCCTGCAACATGTGCTCACTGAGCTCTGATTTTTTAACTTCACTTCATTCCAACATTTATGACAGATAAAAATGTCATACTGGGATACCATTGACTTTTGACATAAATTCTGCAATCAGAAAATGACTTTGTCAAGTATTCATTGCTACAGTATTTTGTAATGGTGGTTTTATTTACCGAGCAAACATTTCATATTTCGGTCTTATCTCAATTACAGACTTTATTGAAGAAGCCAATGAAAATTTCATCAACATTTGTCATTTTGGTGCAACAGTGACGTCTGCTACAGGCGTTCAGAGAGATTTATGTAGTAATTCACTTTTAAACATCCCTAACGGTTTCCGTTTGTCTAATGAATGTGTATCTTAGCACTGTGCCCGAGAATTATAATACTTTGTTGTCTCAGATGGATTTAGAGCTTTGTGTGGCTGCGTTTTTCAGTGGAAACAGTTAGAAAGGGATGTCTTGTCACTTTATGGCTTGCACAAATCAGAGAAAACATAAACACTCCGACAAGAAAAGATAGAGACTACAACAGCCACGTGGAAGAATTTTAAACTGTTTTGTCTTTGTTTTACCAAATCATCCATGTTGCCGATGCTCAAAGAAGGTTGATGTTATGTGTAGATATTTAATTACTATCAGTGTACTATGGGGTTAGAAAAGGTTCCCAGCTTCCTCTGCAGATTGTAAGAGGTGACAGCTGCTTGAGTGGCCATGGCTTCTTGTATGTATCAGTCTGCAATGACATGGATGATTGCTAAAATCGTCAGTTACTTGATTGTCTGGTCCACTGTCATTATTTATGGGCTGCTATAGGTTCAATATATGTGGGTATGGTATTAAGCAACAAACATTTGATGTATGGGTTAAATAACATTTAGATTTGAAACTTTGTCAGCAAATAAAACATTGAGGGTTACGTAACATGGTAATAATTCCAATATGCCAGGAAATCAAAAAAATTTATAAGACAATGGAAATGTTCCTTTAATGTCCTTTAATTACAAAACTTTAAATTTTCAAACTTCAAATGTTAATCTGTATCTAACCTTTAAGCACATTCTTTTTGCTCAATTAAGTTTGTTGCATGCAAACATTGTTTTTGCATTTATTGAGATAGTGGTTTATATATTCTGTTCGTCTGCTCATTGTTATTGGCTAACTTAACTCTATCACATCCCTCTCGTGTACTGAGAGTTTATAGTTTCTGCTCTGTTCTTTTCATTTCTATTTTGGGTATTCAAGTGATTGAACTAGATCGCACCAGTGGGCTCAATTCTGCAGCAGTTTACAGGAAGCTAGGTTGATATCCATCAGAAACACAATATATTGTCGTCACCCAATGCTACATGGCACACACATTTGTCATGGGCTACCAAGTCCTGCCCATTTCACACGAATTTAATTCCTGCTGTTAGCGCTAGCAGACAGACACATGTTTACAACGCAGGGCGTGACTTTGATGTAATAAGGCCAGAGAAAACCTTTAATGTTATGTGACCTTGTCTGACCTCTTGACACTGTTCATTATCCCATCAGTTTCGGTAATTGGGGCTGATATGTCACCATGAAGGATTAGTGAGTGAGTGAGTTTGGTTTAACGCCGCTTTTAGCAATATTCCAGCAATATCACGGCAGGGGACACCAGAAATGGGCCACACCCATGTAGGGAATCGAACCTGGGTCTTCAGCATGATGAGCGAATGCTTTAACCGTTAGGCTACCCCATGTAAGAATTAATCCAACAAGATATATAGTTTTATATGACGGAATAGGTCTGTCTACCTTCATGACAAAATGTTTATTAGATGGCAACAATGTGAGGATGGCTTTAAAATGTGTGTATGATCAGCCAATGATTATGTGTGCTCTGTCACCAAATCACATGGTGACAATCATTGGATTGTCTGATCCAGACTCGATTTGTTTATAATCAACATCATACAGCTGTAATACTGCTGAAACAAATATATACACATGATGTAGTCACAACTGTACAATCGACTCTGCTTTTAGCAGAGATTTCTTATGGATGTGGAAAGGGTTTTGTCACTTCTATTAAGATATGTGAATCAGCCAATGATTTTGTGTGCTCTCAGCTCACATATTCTTTCAAGCTGTTGTACTGCCGGTGTCTGCATAAACTAACCAAGCATATGCCGCTTACAGTACATATGTACGTGCGGAGCTGCACCTTATCATGGCGTCGTGTACTTAAATGGTCAGGGCAGTAGCCACAGGAACTGCCGATTTCCTGTTCATTGTACCCACACACACATACTATGACCATAAGGCATTATAAATTAGTAATTAGATCTTCACACCTGCCCACCTCGCTACCAAACACTCTGCTTCGCATTATTTTATTATCCCCCAGGATTAGGCTGTAACTGCTCTATGGCGTCTTTATTACTTAACACATTTCTCTCTTCTAACAAGTTTATTTTCTAAATCTAGTCAGCTGGCTAGACTTTTCTATTTCTATAATCTACGTTGGTTTTGATTCAATTAAATGCAGACACTTCACAGCCATTGTTCATGACTATCCAAATATCTTCAGACAATGAAAATTGCTACGTGTGCTGACATCTGTATTTACTTGATTAAATACTCACATCAGATAAGAAAACATTTCAATCGATAAGTTAGATGCTGATAATAAAATTGTCTTCAAATATAAAAAAAATGCCCTTTACATAATCTAACCAAAAATTATTGTTCACATGAATCACATCCATGAAGTGTATCTAGACGTCATAAATGATTTTGTATTTGTATATCGACTCATAGCTCATTTTGAATGAAAACCTAATAAATAACTGATTGTAGCCTAATGACTTTCCTGTCTTAGGTCATCTGGGGTCAGGACAGTGTCCTGTGTAATTTAATGCTATATGGAATCTGAGAGGCGTAAGGTGAGACATTTATAACACAAGGGTGTGATATGACACATAACGGAACAATGTGACATTTCCCAGGTGTGCTCATCACTTGTCACATGAAACAACAGCGTGACATATATTATTTTTTCTTTGATGTATACATGAAAGGACCATAATTTTCTGAAAAAAATGGATTGTCATTTCAATTCAGTTTTGTTCACAACAGTGCACAATTGTACTTCTGCGGACAATTTATGATAGTATACATTCAGCTTTCTTCACATGCAAGAGCTGTGGGGTAGCCTAGTGGTAAAAGCATTCCCCCGGGTTTGATTCCCAAAATGGGTACAGTGTGTGATGCCCATGTCCCCTGCTGTGAAATTGCTTGAATATTTCCAAAATGGACGTAAAACTAAATTCACTCATTCACTCTTCACATGCACTGAATTTATGTGATCAGATATCAGCTGTGAATAATCCTTGAACCTTGAGAAATATTGAATTTTCATATCTTTGGCTCAAAGCCTAAATGACTTTTTATGACATCAAGTTTTCATATAACTTTACACTCCGGAGAATAAAGCTCATTTTTCATCCAATTCCTTTTCTCGGTGTATGATTTACGAGTAAGATGTGGGCTTGTTCTTTGGTCCTTGCACCAAGTCATATCCAGCACTGCTTACGAGCTTAGGAGAGTGTGAATTCATGATAAAGAGAACATCTCCAGAGAATTGCTCACACATAAAACCATTAACCACTCTCCATTGCCAGGAATGATCCATCTTCTTCAGACGGATATTAAAGAGTTAGTGCAACAAGTGTGCATTTGGATGTAGTATTTTCTCTGCTTTAAACTCATCAGGATTCACTGACGTTTCTGATTGGGATTTTGTCTCCCATGATGGGTTCTGAGCTCTGTCCTTTGCTTACTGACATTTGCCATCATATGCCATATCCCACAAGTCTGTGCTCTGATTGTCAAGGCGGCCATCTTTAAATTAAATTTGTCATTCCTACCCCATAGAGATGAGCTACGATTTTTCTGTTAACAGATGAAATGACATAATCAAATTTTCTCTGACAGCTTGATTGTCAGAGAACTTTATCTCATACTCATCTCAGTGTCGTGGAATTGTGAGTCATAAAGATTTACAGGTGGAAGGTGATTTCATTTTCCTGTACATCTTAAATTATGTTATTGCTTCTAAATCTAAATCACCTTTGGTGTCCATGTTCACTTGCTCGCTCACTCACTCACTCACTCACTCTGGCTTACATATTTCCTCCTTATCATGCATAAATATTTCTTTCTTTGGCAGCATCTACTTCTCCCAATCCTAGTCCTAATCCACAAGCTAACAAAAGTGGACACACCATTCAAAGTGGCATCAAACCCACTCACTCACTCCATACAGAAACACTGCAATATTGAACAACAACTTGAACTATGGGACTAGTCATGTCTGGTTGGAGTTTGGACGATCTGCGAACATCATCTAGTTACACAATGTATAATTCAATTTACGGCTTGATACTAGCTGGGTCTTCTCTGATTAGGGTCATGGTGGTGATCCCACAGTGAAGTCGCCAATGGGAAGACATGCTCTAACTTTGTTACAGACCTATTTCTCAGGAGAGCCTTTTGTTGACTGACACGAATCAAGCCATTTTGAGATGAGCAAAATATGATTAACTTGGACCATAACTTTTTATGTATTTTTCATTGTTACCAATTTGGGTAGAAGTATTTGTCTCTTGATGAAAACATGTGTGCGGTTTGTGGGCAGTTTTGTAAAGGAACGGATTTCAATGAATACCGATAGTGTTGGAAAACATTAAATATTGGATAACTTCTTTTTCTGTTGGCTGCGTGCAAAAAGTCTGTTCTAGAAGATGATTTAAGTGAAAACTTGGAACGTCACAGCCTACAGTGTACAGAATCTGTGAGCTTAATTGTTTGATCTCTTGCAAACATTTCTTGTATGGAGAAATCACATTCAGACTTGTGTAATCTCCTGATGAAGTTTGTAATATATAGCATGGTGTCTGTGTTGGCAGCTGCTGAAGACATTTCGATAAGAATAGGTAACCATAATAAGCTTTCAGTGACCACAATGTTGTTTATCACATTGGTATTCAGTGACCACAATGTTGTTTATCAAATTGGTATTCAGTGTCCACAATGGTGTTTATCAAATTGGTATTCAGTGACCACAATGGTGTTTATCAAATTGGTATTCAGTGACCCCAATGACGTTTATCAAATCGGTATTCAGTGACCACAATGGTTGTTTATCAAATTGGTATTCAGTGACCCCAATGACGTTTATCAAATTGGTATTCAGTGACCACAATGTTGTTTATCAAATTGGTATTCAGTGACCCCAATGACGTTTATCAAATCGGTATTCAATGACCACAATGTTGTTTATCAAATTGGTATTCAGTGACCCCAATGACGTTTATCAAATTGGTATTCAGTGACCACAATGTTGTTTATCAAATCGCTATTCAATGACCACAATGTTGTTTATCAAATCAAATCAATGGCGTTTTATCAAATTGGTATTCAGTGACCACAATGTTGTTTATCAAATCGCTATTCAATGACCCCAATGACGTTTATCAAATCGCTATTCAATGACCACAATGTTGTTTATCAAATGAGGACTCAGTGGTCACGTGATCTTTAAGAGCAAATGAAGGCAAAATGGATCCAATTAGTAAAATTAGTAGGTGTAAATTATTGTGTTCTTAAAATACATGCGTGTGAATGCAAGTGAATATGAGAGTCCATATTTGTGTCTGTCCTGGGCGGAACAAAGGGTCCCCAAGTTTCTTTGGTTTTAGGGCCCTGACAATGAGCATTTCCAAGAATATGGGATATTGCATCAACTTTTTTGTTGTTTCATTTCAGAGTCTTTGTTTGTTCCCCTTATTTTAATGTATTGAAAACTGCTTTGTTCTCATTCACAAAGAGACTTTTATCCTTGAAATCATCTGAGGACCTGAATCTCTTTCCAACAGATTGTTTTTGAGGCTGTTATTTTGTTATTTTATGGGAATATGTCTTGTGTTTTCAGATCTGGATGTCAGCTCTTTTCATGATGGGAAAAGCACGGATCCAAGATACTATCGATACATCATGGTGGATACTTTGTCCCAGAGCTTGCTTGTTGGAGCCATGTGAGTACAAACACTGTTTTCATGAAAACTGTTCATATATTCGACAAGTTTATCTTGGTGCCGTATGACTCAAATACTATTTTCATGAAAGCTAATTATGCTGAAGAAGCTTTATCTCGGACTGATGCGATTACTCACTCCACTTTCATAAACACCAAACAAATGGAATCAGCTTTTACTTCATGGATCAGTGAACAATGTGCTTTGGCAATAACTATATTGGAGTGATAGAAAATGTTAGTGATATATCATCAAGCTTTTATGCAAGTGCACTGGAAAGTCTGGTGGACTGCAATGGGTATATGTGCCTAATGAACAGGAATGTATAGATATATTGTGTATCTTGAGATAAAGGCAGTATTTTTATCAGTGTATGCCCAGTTTGACCTCAATCGATATCCAAAGCTCTCCCTAGTGGTAACGTGTACTTTGCGCAACATCTGTAATAGCAGCACTGTCTGAGAGACAAATATATTGATCTACACATTGAAAATATACAGCACAAGAGCTGCAAACATGGAAATAAGATTCAATATCTTTGTTTTGTCAACGGTCTGTGTGGGTTTAGTGGCAGAATAATCCCCACACCCCCACACTGGTTGTAACAGCTATCTAAGACGCGCCTTAGGTTGTTGTCGCGACTGGATGAGTGATTGGATAATTTAGGGATGACCAGCTCTCTGTAGATCCTTGTAGCTTTTACGTGCTCACACTATCAGCCACTGGTTGGTGTGGTTTAATTTGTTTATTGAGATGCTTCAATGATGCATCTGTGAAATTACAGACTATGGTGTAAATACTCTCAGTTTGAGCATGTTTTTCAGACAATATTTAACATCAGTTGCAGTCATTACTGAGTTTTAGTTTTCAAGGAACTGTTGTAAAATGCACAAGTACCAGGAATGTTCCTATTGATAAAAACAATAATAGTTACTCTAAGTCCCTGTATGGGACTTCCAGGTGAGAATTGGTCTCCTATGCCTATACTGGTTGTAAGAGGCGACCAGATGGATTGGATGGTTGGCCTCGGGTTGATAATGTTTCGGGAATCTTTTTCCCAATATCACTCACTGGATTGTCTGGTCCAGATATTATAATATACACCCTGCCTTCATATACCTAGAAAATTGCTCATTACTGTGTTACACAACAAACACAGAGCTCTATAAGTAGCCACAATGCAGTCCATTACCAATCATAACAAGGTAAGATGTCATTACAAGGACAAGTCTAGTTGCAGAAAATATATCAATATAAATCAAATGCTTTTTTCTGTCATATTTGTTTGCAATAGTAAGAATGACTTTGTCTATATTCCAACATCCCTGATACTACAGTATTCAAACAGTTCCAAATGCTTCAATTTTACATTCATCAAAGTCAATTCACTTCAGAGCTCTCTTCACCGTCACATACATTTCTCCTTATTCCACGACTTATTCAATATCAAATCTACCTTTTTTTTACAAATGTTGAATTTCAGACATATCAGGATTTTTAGTTCCATAAATCTGCATTTGAAAGTTTTCTCATATAAATATTCATGATTCAAACTTGTTTTATTTCTTCATTTGATGTGATAATTTCAAAAAATTGTTTTAAATCCTTACAAATGTATAATATTCTTTTTCAAACTAGTGTCAACCCATCAAAATCATTTTAGAAACCATATGTGAAATTTGCCATTCAAGTCACTTTTTACTGGTTTTTCTTCTCATGCAAACTTGTTGAAAAATATAGTAATCCTCAGGAGGTAACCAACATAATCAATATCTGATGTTTAAAGATGAAAGGAACCTATCATTGTCCCCAACAATAGAGCAATTCACAGGCCTGGATATTTTCCAACATAAAACAGACATTGTGTAATATCTCTCTCTCTCTCTCTCTCTCTCTCTCTCTCTATCTCTATCTCTCTCTCTCTCTCTCTCTCTCTCTCTCTCTCTCTCTCTCTCTCTCTCTCTCTCTCTCTCTCTCTCTCTCTCTTTTTCTTTCTTTCTTTCTTTCTCTCTCTCTCTCTCTCATTTATCCTGGAGCGATGTTGAATGGGTGTTCGGTGAGTCAGCTTGGCTCCTGGAGAGTGTCTAGAGCTGCTGTTTGACCTCACTCTAAAACACATTTACCGCATATGGTGTCTCCTTGAGCAAGCAACTTTTGTAAAAGTATGCCTGTGTTCACTCAACAATGAATAGGCACCTGATAATACGAGATGGCAATATGACTGTCAACATTACAGAGCTTCACAGGCAGCTTAGGTTGCATACTTCTCAGGGAGAAGAGAATGAAGGTCAAGCACACACAAGGGAACCATGATACTGGAAGCTTTAAGCTGTGGATTTGGAGCATAATATATATGCAACCAATCTGAGCATCAAACGTTCCATGATGTGTAAGTTTTAAACACTAGTTTATCAGTATTCTGTCACATCTACTGCACAGTATCACTTGTTACAGGTACAATTCTGTCGACCACTGACAGGTTGGAGAAGGCAGTGTGAAGGCTATTGCCATATTTATCCAAATCACTTTCTCACAAAACCGATTTATTTTTAAAATATGGACTTGTTGTCATATCTCCTGTCAATACAGTTGTATTGATAATGGAGAATGTGTCTCAGAAGCATGAAAAAAATTCAGAATTTTGAAATGGAGTGTAGAACTCATTTTCGAGCAGGGATCAACGTCTTCATCTTTCATCAATGGCTTGTTGAGTGGCGGTGTTCCGCTGAACATTCCGCTCACCTTCAGCGGTTCAGAGGATGAAGGAGCACTTCATCTGTGACCTGATAGGGCTGGATGTCATCAACATATCTGATAGCATGCTACAGCAACCTCAGAGGCCAGTCTGCTGGGTTAGACAAGCAAGACTGATCTCTTTACAATGGCGACAGACATATTACAATAATGATGGAACCAGATGCCAAGGTTCGGCTGCCGATGAAAACTTAGGGAATTTTTCAGAATGGACGTGAAATTCTAGTGTTTTGTAAATGATGGCTTAAAGAAAGCCAGGTTGCTGTTCCAGATGTAGTGTTATATAACAGGAGTGCTGCCCTTTGTAGCATCATCTGACCGATGCATGCTCTGGGGTCATGGCTGGTCATCCTAGGGTTAATATATCAGAGTCGTGTAACGTGTTCCTGGAAACTGGGAAATTTATAGATCTTTGAGAGTAACGTTAGTGTGTTTGTTGTTTGGTTCAGCAATCAGCTATATTCCAGCTGTATGAAAGCAGGCTGTATAAGAATCGGCAAGGCAATCCAGTGGTTGATGTCATGAACAACAATCCACACTCTCAGGTTAGGAAGTTACCAAATGATCCCTCTCACCTCTTGCAGCCATCATTTGGACCTATGTTAACCTTGATTCAGACAGTGTGCAGTGTAGTCTTCCTAACAAAATCCAGTTCTAGATTTGATTGATTCAACCATGGTTTATTGTGCATAATGTGTATATTTTCCATAATATTTGCATATATGATTGCTACTCTCCAGTTACATTTATAAAAATAGTCAAACAGAAAAAAGCTGATCACTGTATATATCAAAATGCAAAATGGGAAATTCAATTAAAATCATTAGTAAATTTTCTATTCGCATTGGCCGTAGACTTGTAAGCAAACTGATGTACTTTTTCCCTGAAACCTAAACCCAAAATGGTGGAAGCATGATAATTTCAAGTGCATATTTTACACAGTACATTTTGAACACATTACAGCACTTCCTGTTATATCCAGTGGAATATAGTTCTGCTCTATCAAGATAAATTTCTTGCACCTGTTTGCAACCATGCCTTCATTTTGAGATGTAATAGCATGTATAAGCAGGATGAGGACATTGTGGATGGGTATGTTGTTTCAAACAGCAGCCCACAGTTGTGGTGGTGCCATAGTCTGTCGTACAGACCCTGAAGCAAATATATCCAAGAAAGCCCACGCAAGTCTAGAAAATGTGGCAAGTCTAGATTTCCTCAGCTTCAGAAAATGAAGAAGTCTCGGGTCTCCTTTTCATTATGTATTTTTTTTTTTTACTATGAACTTTTTTCAGTAAAATATGTTCATTTCAGAGACTAGTTGTTAGTCTAGCTGTGCCATTACCAACTACTACAAGAACCCATCTCTCACTCACTAAATCTCAGGAGATGTTAGGTAGCTCAGTGATTAATGTGTTTGCTTTTGATACATGAATTCTGGGTTCAATTCCCACAGGGATAAACTGTGTCACATTCATTCTTGTTGACCAGTTCCATTCGACTGGAGATCCCCAACCTATTTCTCATCCCACACTTGGTTAATCTCATGTGGGATGTTAGGAAGTTCTCTCATGTCCTTACAGTTAGTGATAACGGGAGGCCACTATTTAATTAGTCCCATGCAAGCCTTGCACATGGCACTACTTTGTAGTTCAATACACTTGAAAGAGTTTTTAAGGAAACGTAACGTGTTTTCAAACATGAAAGACAATGCCAAAACACTGAACCGCCCAACAGCTGAATTGAACAACATACAGACTTTTCCCAGATTATCCTGACAGTCAATTTCCTAATGTGAATCTTATCTCTTAAATGTACCAATTAGTTTCAGTTTATATGTCAGATTACTTTCAAGAATTTTACACAAAAAAAGTCCACCTTAGGGTGAAAAGTGATGTCTTGGCCACAAGTTTATTTGAAACCTATCACTTTTTGTACTATGTTTTTATTAGAGTGTGCCTGAGCTGCACCTGCATACACAGTGTGGTTAGACCACCTCACAAGCAGTGGTAATTGGACAGAACCAAACCTGACTTTTTGTGCCCAGAGCAAGCTAATCTTTGCCTGTTGTGCTAGATCAGTTGAAGGTAATGTGGCCACCATGCAGAGAGGAGAGGAATTTCAAAGAACTTCGCCCATGATGTCTGTTTAACAAATACTCAAGCTGTAGAAGTAATCAGTATCAAGCGATTGGTGATGGTTCGGTGTTTGTTCACATGCTTTATACACAATTTCAGGAAGGAAACGTT